CCATCGCTCCCCTCTCCTTTCTTTCCCTGTCCATGGATGTCCTTCCTGTGCTCACTCCTTGTCCTTTTTCGCAACCCCGCGCCCCCAGCCGTCGACGATCCCCGCAAGATCGTCAAGGTCGTCGCCTCCGACGGCAAGACTGGCGACACCCGTGACCTCGTCTACACAAACTGCAAAGTCATCGGCAACGGCTCCTTCGGCATCGTCTTCCAGGCAAAGCTCCTCGAGGACTCAAACCCCGTCTGCGACATCGCAATCAAGAAGGTCTTGCAGGACAAGAGGTTCAAGGCATGTCTCCACCTCTCTTTTCCCTCTTTGTGCTCCAGAGCGCCTCTCATCTCCCCGCCTTCCCAGAACCGTGAATTGCAGATCATGAGACTCGTCTCCCATCCTAACGTCGTTGATCTTAAAGCTTTCTTCTATTCTAATGGTGACAAGGTGAGTCGCTCCACTCCCTATTCCCACTCCCGATTCCCTCCCCCCCTCTCTTCCCCTCCGCAACCCACATCTGACCCAGTCCGATCGAAAGAAAGACGAAGTGTACCTCAACCTTGTGCTCGAATACGTCCCTGAGACAGTGTACCGTGCCAGCCGGCACTATGCCAAGCTCAAGCAACCTATGCCTATGCTCCAGATCAAGCTGTATATGTACCAACTCCTCCGTTCCCTCATGTACATCCACTCCATCGGCATCTGCCACCGCGACATCAAGCCACAGAACCTCCTTCTTAACCCGGCCACTGGCGTCCTCAAGTTGTGCGACTTTGGCTCCGCGAAGATCCTCGTTTCCGGAGAGCCCAACGTCAGCTACATCTGCTCTCGCTACTACCGTGCCCCCGAGCTCATCTTCGGTGCAACCAACTACACGACCAACATCGGTTCGTATCTCCCTCCTGTTCCTTACGTACTGGTGCTGACAATTTCCTCCCTTAGACATCTGGTCCACCGGATGCGTGATGGCGGAGCTCATGCTCGGGCAACCGCTCTTCCCAGGAGAGAGCGGGATCGACCAGCTCGTAGAGATCATCAAGGTGCTCGGAACGCCCTCGCGCGAGCAGATCAAGACGATGAACCCGAACTACATGGAGCACAAGTTCCCGCAGATCAAGCCTCATCCCTTCTCGAAGGTATGGACTTTGCTGCCCATGATAGCATCCTCGCTGAGGCTTCTTTCCGAATCTCCAGGTCTTCCGTCCGCGCACGGCACCCGAGGCCATCGATTTGGTCGCAAAGCTGCTCGAGTACACGCCAGAAGCCCGGTTGAGCGCGGTCGAGGCCATGTGCCACCCATTCTTCGACGAGCTGCGACAGGAGGGAGCGAAGATGCCCAACGGGAAGGAGTTCCCGCCCTTGTTCGACTTTACTCGCGAGGGTGCGTCGTCGTGTTGGCTGCGTCGCGGGAGCAGTAAACTGACTCACCTTGTGCTGCACAGAGCTCTCGGTACGACCGGACCTGATGCGGCAGCTGGTCCCGCCTCACTGCGAGGCCGAGCTGGCGTCGCGAGCGATCAACCTCGACAACTTCGTGCCGATACCATTGGAGGAGCTCAGAATCTCGCTGGATTGATGAGTGGCTTGGAGGCACGCAGAGCATTGGGACTCGTAGTCTTCTGTCGGCCTTTTTCTCTGTGCGTGCGCGCTCGCTGTCCGCCCGTGTTTCTGCTCGTTCGTCGGTCGTCAGTCCGACTGTTGTCTGTCACGTCATGTCTGATACATCTCACGTTCATACATCACCACTCGTACCGTCCTGGCGCCGTGTTCTGTCCTATATATCTTGAATTCCAATGGCTGGGCTGCCACTGCGCTCGCAATCCGAGCTAGCGAGAGACTGATATATGTACGACAAGATGTCGAGAAAGAAGCGATAGAATGACGCCTCGCGGGCAGTTGCGAGGGTGCTGCGAATATGTCGCGATGGCTCACTGCCCTTGTCGCTGTGGCCTGCAGCGGGGGCAGAGGAGGACTCGCGCGAAAAGTTGCGCGATGTCGCGAGCGACTCACGCGACCTGCAGAACCGGGCGTCTATTACCTGTAAGCTCTCGGATCTGCAGCCACTCGCTCTTCATCTCCCCGTCCTCGTCCCCGTCCTCCTCCCCGCTCTCTGCCTCCACGATGTCCAGCTCGCTCCCGGGCAACAGTGCCGCCTACGTCTGCGACACCCTCCCCGCTCCCCGCCTCGCCTCCGCAAAGTCCTGCTCTCGGTCTCCGAGCCCTGCTCCGCCCCCGTCTCCGCCCTCAGTCACCACATTCGACGCACCCATCCTCGCCGGCGACGCGGATCCCTCGGAAATCGCTGCACTCTCCTCTACGAGCACGCCCAGCGCAAGTGCGTCGACCAAGGAGGAGGGCCCCATGCCTCTGCAGCCTCCGGCGCGGAAGCTCTGCGTCCGCCACCAGCGGATGGCAGACGAGGGCACAAACTTGAAGCTCCAGCAGGTGAGTCCCCCATCCTCTTGCTCCCATAACATCATTCGCCCCTTTGCCGGATGCGCTCGCTGCGATAGAAGCTGCTGGGCGGGTCATGCGTCCCCCGCCCACTTCTTCTTAGCGCGCTCGCGTCCCACAACCATTTCTTCTGCCAGTCCATCGTGCCCAAAATCTTCCACTCTCACTGTCCGAGATACTGACGCGCCCGTCCTCCCGCGATGCAGGCCCTCGATGCACTCCCGGTCGCCGAGCGCGAAGCCGTCTCCACCATCTGGTCAAACTTCTCTTCTTCCCCGCACCCCCAGCGCGCGCTCATCCTGCAGGGCCTGCTCACGATGTGCTGCTTCTCGCAACTATCTCTGCTCACCGAGCAGCTCTCCCAACTCATCCGTATCGACCCCTTCGCGGTCCTCCCGCGCGAGGTCTGCCTCAAGATCCTCGGCTACCTCGACGCGACGTCCCTCTGCCGCGCCGCCCAGGTCTCCCGTTCGTGGAAATGCCTCGCAGACGACGACATCCTCTGGCGCGGCATCTGCGAGCAGCACATCGGGCAAAAGTGCCTCAAGTGCGGGTGGGGCCTTCCCATCCTCGAGAAGCGCAGGGCAGTCCGCCTCCCGTCTACCAGTGCGTCCCCGTGTCCGTCGCCCGTCCTGCAGTCCGCGTCGCACCAGCACCTGAAGCGGCGGTTGGATGCAGACGCCGCCGCAGATGCGTCGGGGCCGTCCAAGCGAGCGAGGGTGGACCTGCACCAGGACCACTCGCGACCTTCTACCCCCGTGTCTCCCTGTCCCGAATCTCAGTCCGAATCCGCCGCAGAGTCCTCTTCATCATCCATGTCCCTCAACCCTCTCCTTGCACCCTCGACGCCGCAACCGGCCGACCTCTACACACGACCGTGGAAGGATGTCTATTGTGAACGCCTCACTGTCGAACGCAATTGGAGGCGCGGTCGATGTACCATCCGCGCCCTCAAGGGCCACACCGACGGCGTGATGTGCCTGCAGTTCTCCGAAACGCTCTCCCACCCCTCGTTCCCTGTCCTCATCACCGGCTCATACGATCGCACCGCACGCGTATGGAATCTCGAAACCGGCACCGAGGTGCAGTGTCTCTCGGGCCACACACGGGCGATCCGTGCGCTGCAGTTCGACGAGGTCAAGCTCATCACGGGCAGCATGGACCACACGATGCGTGTCTGGAACTGGCGCACCGGGCAGCTGCTCAAGGTGCTCGAGGGCCACACCGAGGGCGTCGTGTGCCTCCGCTTCGACTCGAACGTCCTCGCGAGCGGCTCCGTCGACCACACCGTCAAAGTGTGGAACTTCCGCACGGGCGAGTGCTTCACGCTCCGCGGGCACTGCGACTGGGTCAACGCCGTGCAGCTCTGGGACTCCACCGGGAGCACGCCGTCCTCCGACCCCGGGCTGAACGCGCTTGCGAACGGGCCCGCACCGTCGTCCTCGAGCGCGCCGCACATCGACCCGGGCAAGATGCTCTTCTCCGCGTCGGACGACGGCACGATCCGCCTGTGGGACCTGTGCACCCGCTCGTGCGTGCGGCAGTTCAAGGGGCACGTCGGCCAAGTGCAGAGTTTGAAGCTCCTCATGGTCGACGAGGGGTGCGGGTCCTCTGCCGCCTCCGACGGGTCCGACCGCGAGACTTCTGTTGAACCGCAGGACTCGTCGCAGTCCTCCTCCGTCCCCACCCTGTCGCGGCGCAATACGGCGGAGAAGCGCCAGAAGCCCGTGCTCATCTCGGGCAGTCTGGACAATACGATCAAGCTCTGGGACATCGACACCGGCAAGGTCCAGCGTACGCTGTTCGGGCACATCGAAGGCGTCTGGGCCGTTGCGAGCGACAAGCTGCGTCTGGTGAGCGGCAGCCACGACCGCACGATCAAGGTATGCCCGTCTCCTGTGTCGCTGTCCTCTCCGAGTACTCACATTGCATTGCAGGTATGGTCGCGCGAGGAGGGCAACTGCACAGCTACGCTTGTCGGCCACCGCGGTGCGGTGACCTGTCTCGCACTCGGGGAGGACAAGATCGTGTCCGGCAGCGACGACGGAGATGTGCGCGTGTGGAGCTTCAGTGGCTAGGTTCGACCTTCGGGTTGCCGATGCTCGTCATGGGGATGATGTCTCTGATGCATAGAAGGTCATTTTACGGTCTGTACACTAGTATTGGTATGGTATGTCGTCGCATCGTCGATAATGTCTGGGCTGTTGCTCCCACTGTTTGTACTCATGGATATCATCATATTTCCGCATCACATCCATACATTCCATTAGACACATGCACTTGCCAATGGATGTCAGGGAGCTCGACTTTCTCGAAGGCAATTAATCATGGGTGTTGTTAGGTGCGTATGGAGGAGCGCAAACGTCACAATCGCACCGACCGCGTTGTGTATTTACGTATGACCGCCACTGCAGGTCTACCCAGTTGTGATTGTACCACAGTGATTTTGGTTCCTTGCGGAGGACGCGGAACCAATTGGGGGGCAGCCCGGGATACTATCCGGGCGCTCCAAGTTACCAACGTCATCATATAGCGTAAAGCAATATCGGTTGGGAGGTGGCGTGGCCGAGTTGGTCTAAGGCGTCGGATTTAAGTCTTTCTTGATTCCCGATGGGGCAATCCCGCGCGAGTTCGAACCTCGCCGCCACCAATTTTGCCTCTGATGCATTCGCCACTGAGAAAATCTCCGCCGGGCAGGTTGTTCACACCGCCCAAAGTACCTGGAGTATCTCAGCCGTTCGCTCTTCCATCGAGCCAGTTGAACGTAGGCTATCAGTTGTCTCCCCTAGGCAGACGATTGACGGGTCTATTAAGTGGAGGCAGGACGACCTAGGACGACCCGGGCTACCAGTGATCACCGCACACTTGAACACTCTACTGGACTTCGATCAACCCATGCACCCATCCGAAGCAACGGCGCGCAGATGGCTGGCCTACACCCTCCTCGGGATGATAGCAGATACGTTCGACACCGTCTTCATAGCCATATCACCACCCAAGAGACCCCAGAGGAGCGTTCTCGTGAGCAGCTTCAATATGCTTCCTAGTGGATGTTTAATTGAAATGCAATTGTTCTACCCAGCCATCTGACATAGACAACTTGAGCAACGCAGAGCTCCTCGAGCTCCGCAAAAGCGCACCCAAAGTGCATCCAGAGGCCGGCGTCGTCAGACTGACACCGGGCACCGTCGCAAAGCCGTCGCAGGACATGGACGAGGACGCGACAGACCCTTCCGAGGCCAACGCGCTCGACCTCGTATTCTCGCAAACAAAAATTCCCGTGCCACGCGTTCGCCGCGTTATCAATTGCGAGTGGTGCTTCCTGATCGTCATGGACTACATCGACGGCCCTACGCTCGCCCAGGTCTGGCCTACGCTGTCTACATGGCGCAAATGCCTGGTTGCGTTCACCCTGCGGCCCTCTGGCGGCACAAGGACCGGCGCGGATATGCGAGTCACCTGTGTTCGGGCAGGTGCAGTCGCGCCGCGGGCCGTTCACGTCGTATGCCGAGCTTTCCGCGTTCTTTAACGACCGGCACCGCAGGGTGCTGGACGCGCGGAGTGTGCCCCAGGACGATCCCGCGCGGAAAGACCTATTCGACGACTCTGAGCCGCTCGTTCTGACACACCAGGACATCAACCTGCGGAACATCGTCGTGGGCGAGGGCGGCCGTCTTTGGCTCATCGACTGGGCGTGGGCGGGCTACTACCCGTCGTGGTTCGAGTACGTGGCGACGCAGAGGCAAGGCGAGGACGCACGCATCAGCGGAACGGACGATGAGTTTTGGAAGGCGTTGATTCCCTTCATCTGTGGACCGTACTTCAGGCAGAAAAGGTGGCTGTCGCGGATGTGGCAAGCGTTGTCCTGGGCATGATGGGTCGGCCGGGGGCCCCTAGGTCTCGAGCCCTGTCCACCCGAGGCTGACCATCAATCATGACTTCTAGTCGTTCAACGAGCTCTGCAGCTCAGTCTCCGCTTCGCTGAGCGGGGCGCTGAGGCGCTGGTATTCCGCCTCGATGTCCCAGCCGGTGACGATGTAGAAGAAGGTCCAGAAGGTGCCCGCGCCCTTCGGGGTGATGGTCTTCGAGCGGTGCTCCTCTGGCTGGTGCATTGGGACCTTCATCGATGATCTTGAGCACAGGTCACCAGCGCGTGGGTAGAGGATGCGAAATAAGAGGCCCGCCTTCCAGAAGCCCTGGTAGCGGTAGAGGTAGTCATTCGGTGTGTGGCGATGGAGCACGCCAATCGCGACGACAGCACGAGCGAGCAAGGGTCGGCCAGTGCTGCTGAACGTGTAGTCGTACACGATGCTATCGCTGAAGAGAATGGGAGGCTCTGCGTCGCGACCGTATACGGTGACCTGGTCGAGCGGGAGAGTTGAGGACGCGGAGACGTCCGGGGCAGCAGGCGGAGGACTCCTCTGGACCGTGCGTTCGACACGCATCCCGCCTGATGCCCCCGTCGTCGCCGACAGTGACGACGGAGAGGAGCACGTACTCGTGCTCAGAGATACGATTTCCCTTTACAAGCCTGATCCTTTGAATGTGACACTGCCCTAAGAGTCGAGACGTAGTTGCTAGCGGGCCCTGCATGCTACCGATGAATCGGGCGTCGGTGTAGCGTACTTTGAGCGTAGGGGCGGTCGTCGGGTTTTCGTTCTCATTGAGGGGGAGGAGGGCGGGCAGTGAGTCCGACGGGGGGAGCCGTAAGGCGTGGCGGACGAGGGTGCGGACGAAGGCGAGTATGCGCGACATGCCGAGGAGGGTTTCTTGTACGCGTCCGAGTTGAGAGGCTGCACCGCTCCCGCCCTCTGTTGTGATGCGCCCCCCGTCACAATCCGTTCTCGTCACGCAGTCCCTTTGTCGACCATAAGCACCCGCTGCACCGACAGTCGAACCCACGACACGACACCGCCGCATGCGCACTGGCACCAGCATGGCGTCGAGGGGGGGTGGGGGGGTCGCGGAGGAGGGGAAACGTGTTCAAATTGTCTGGGGGTTAACTTGGAGGACTGGTATCTTGGTGCGGAGTCGTCCTTTGCAAGGGGGATCGCTACGGTTTCTGTTCCATGCCATTTGCGCTATAATCTGTTGTGGAACAAGAATTGATAGGCCGGAGATAGCCTCATATCATGGATGCTAGATGACTGACATCGCGTCTGTTTATACGGCGGATCTCTACCGAACCATCGACTCCAAGCCCATTCATTGCTCGACCGGACGGAGGTGGGTCTATGCAGCCTCTATGCTGAAGTACGGGAAATCATCCAAAGGTTCGAAACATGTCTTCGTCTGGACTCTTGAGTGTTCGGCGTAGAGTACACTTCCCACCTGCGTATCCGCATTAACTCAACCTGCGCAAAGGCCAGACGAGGAAAGCACCTCACCTCATCCCGATCGAGGCTGCAGCAAAGGCAGGTCGGGCTTCCGGCTCTCTGCCATTCGGTGCTCTCGCTCGCCGACCGGCTTCGAGCGCAACGACCGGCTCGTCCTCAGAGGCGGCAGCCGTGAATTCGCGAACAGGACATGGAAACCTTGGCGCAATGCGGATGGGCAGGCGTCCAAGTCGAGCTGCCACGGGTGCAACCCACGTCTGAGGTGCGTATTCACCTTCGGCTCCTTCACGATGTCGCGAAGCTCTTCAGGAAACTCGGGATTAGGCCGTAGCTGCAGTATCTGGTGATACTTGATATTGACGACGCGGTGCCCCTCGTGTCGCGGGTGCTCGTCCCGCACGAATTTACAGAGTGCTTTGCCTAGACGGACGTCAGCACAGTTCATCATGCGGAAACGGGAGACGCACCTAACCACGGAGAAGGCAGCCGCGTGTCGCCCGTCTTGAAGGAGAGGACGTTCGGAAGGGGAGCAGACTTGAACAGGTCGCGCTCGCCCATGAACTGCCACCAGTGCACCTTGCTGCCGAGGTCAAGGTACCAGGGCTGGCCGAACGAGTGCACAAGGCCCTGGGACTCGACGTCCCACGTCTTCCGTTGGCGGCCCATGTCCGCGGCGATGGCAAACGTCTCCTTCGAAACGAGCCCGTCGCGCAGGAGGATGTCACGGTAGACCTGGTAGAGGTCGAAGGTCGCTATTGTGGGGAGCTGAAGACGCCAGGGGAGCCCATTCGCGGAGAGAAGGTCCTGTCCGTTGTTGAACGCCAGTGGTGACGGGGTGAACATCCGTCGGAAGCGGATCTCGCCCGCCGTTGGGGGCGCTGGGGTAGCAGGAACCCAGTAGTACAGATAGCCGGCCAGACCGGCAGGAAAGGTCATCGGCGATTTGCCAGGACGAAAGGTCGCGCATGGGCGGCGGTTGACCTTCGCTGAGACTTGCACAGTGGTAGAACGGGCAAGAGCATCCCAAACAAACACGTACTCCTGCTCGGAAGGTAGATGGATGTAGTCGGCCTCCGTCAGATAATGAGGATTGAGCGTTTTGATGCTGGCTTGGACATAGTGCGCCTTGGATGCCTTTTCCGTGGACGCGGGTGACTCTCTGGACTTATCTGCCGCCGAAGTTGAGTACACGCGGCCGGCTCGCAGCACGCATCCGGCAGAGTACCTGGTAGCACAGAACCTGGGCAGAATGCAACGGACTACGTTACTGATTCTCATCATCCCGCTTCGCCCCTCCGCAACTTCGGAACCTCGAGAGTCGTTGTATTGCAGAGTCCTTCGAAGCAGTCCAGTCCACAGAGGTAACAGGGAGCGTCCGGAGAAATGAAGCACACGACGTGGTGGGGGAGGATAGAGAAGTCTCGCACAGCCGCACAAAGCGGCAATATTTGATCGGGACTCTTAAAATGGTATCATAGACGCTGGAGGTTCTACGTGCTCTACCATCCCTCTCTAAGTACTTAGACCCAGCCGGTCCAGCCCGGTCGGCGACTATCCGACCAGAACATGGTATCGTGCTCACACTACTAACATTGAAGCGGATTGCTTGAATCGAGTTCAAGTCCACCGCAGTCTTTGAACCGAAGTCTGAGGTACTTCGGCCCACATGCATCATGGCAGCAATCAATGTTTCGAGCATCATGCACCAGCTTGAGGACGCAGCGACCCCGACGGCCTCCTCGGGGCGGCGTAGGCACTATGCAAGCACTCTATGTATGTCCCACGTGTTCGGCGTTTCCCCGTACTTACGTACGCAGGTTATGAAAGTCTCGCCGAGCTCGTACAGCCTCTCCTCGAAGGTCATCGATCATCCCCCAGTAGAGCTTCAACTCGAACACTTATCCGTCTATCCGTTGCGGTAGCTGCGACAGAACGGCCAGGAATCACTGGATATTGAGTGGCTTGTAAGTTGCGAATCCCGGCTCCAAGTCAGTGCTCAGTGCCGAATAGTTGTTCGCTGCAAGGCTGATCAGGCTACTTACAGAGACATTGTTGTCTAAGCAACGGCGTAGATTCACATCGCTATCCCATACATGTGTTAGTCTGGCCCGGTTTTGACTGCCGACCTACCGAAACAGTATGCCTGCTTCTCCCATATAAGTGACCCATCGGACATGGACGAGTTCTCATCACTCCCCCTTCCTCAGAGAGTTCCCCAAGCCATGGCCAGCTCCGACGAACGGCCGTACTCCATCTCTATTCCACACTCTGAGCTCGACTTCTTGAAGAAGAAGCTAGAGCTTACCCGTTTCCC